CCAAAGATTTCTTTGTTGAAGATGGAGTGCTGGTGCGTCTCTTAGGCCTTCCCTTTCACTTGTGGAAGCAAGAAACTGCTGAAACCATTGCTCTGATGTGTGGAGGATCACTAGGGGGTGTCTTTTGGGGAGACCTTTTTTCAGCTTCCATTTAATTGAATGGAGTAAAACCTGAGGAGATTCCTCGGAAGATAGAGGTGCTAGTTGAAGGACAATGTTACTCAGTGTGGCTGGCTTCATCTGTTGAATCTGTGMTTTGGAAAGAGGCTCGTAGGGAGGGAGATGAGAAGGTTGAAGAAGAAGAACTGCGTGGCAAGAAAGGATTGGATGATTCAAACAAGAAAGGCACTTTCACTAAAATGGAAAAACAAATGTTGGAGAAACAAGAAGGTAGAATTCAGGGGATGGGTCTTATGCGTGTGGAAGCAGTGAATTTCTTAAACAAGGAAAAGGGGTTGGTCCAGGGAAGAACTGAACCTAGACCTGGTAAAACCAAACTGAGCCTGGGGCTGGGCGTGCGTGACCCTTTTAAAAGTCATGTGAAGTCGCGGTTTATTAAGAATGGGCCAAAGCCAAAGCCCATGTGGAATGATACTGTTGTTAATAAAGGCCCAAATGRGTCAGCAGGCCCGACCCAGTCATTTAAAAAGCCGCATGAGCCTTTAAAGAGGCACGTGACTGGGGTTATTACTAAGGTAGACGACAGAAACCGTCTATTGTCGTCTTCCTCAAGCTCTTCGACTTCTGAGAAGAGCTCTTCCCAGGCCGCTGTTTCGAAGATGCCTTCTCAGTCGGCTAGCTCTCTACAGTGGCGTCCAGTGAAAAGAGCTCAGCAATTTTCTCCTGATCGTCATAATCCGCGCTCTGTCAAAAGCAGCAATTCAGAGAAATGTAACCTGAATCTCTCGTCTGATGAGGAGGATTGCTATGTTTCGGATTCTGAAACTGAGGATACTTTGAGCCTTGGCAGCATCGACCTCTCTCAAACAAAGGACCCATTTGAAGATGACAGTCTAAACACTGAAGTGCTATTCCTAGAGGAAGACGGTTGTGGCTCTTTGTTAGGATTTCAAGCGGCAGCTCCCTCCCCCCCGCCAGGATGTACTTCACATAAAGTTTGTTTGGGTTCAACGGCTGTTATGGAAGTTGCACAGGGGACATCTACTCCAACAAACAAATCCACTTGTGGACTGCAACATGCTCAGGTTATCTATCTAGGGGATCAGAACTCATTACTGTCGTTCCACGCAGAATCAACGGTTAGGGGGCAACCCTCAAAGGTAGCTTCGGCTGCATTGGTTAACACAGACTTGATTGAACCTAAACAACTTCCAAAGATCAATCAATCAGGGGAACCAGACCTAGATTCAATACCTCCGATAGCACATTCTGCTCCTGTTCCCACTCTGCCAGTTCCCTTTGAGTCAGGTACGCCTGTGGATTTGTTTTCTGGTACTAACAAGGGTCCTATGCCTGTAACAGGTACTTCGGCCTCTCAGCCAGAAGGAATGGCCAATGGAGGGGAGAGTGGGAATGTGGCTAAGGGTTGTGGAGAAGAGGAGGGGGAGTCTTTATCAAAAAGGAAGCAGGAAGAAGAATTAGAGAGAATATGGGAGCGAATTTGTGCTCTCTTGGAGGATTATAAAGAGAAAGGAGAGCAAATGGAGGTTACCCCTACAAAATTGGAACAGAAGGAGGGGAATAGAGAGAGTTTTGGAAGTGCTGGAGTAGATAAAAGTAGGAAAACAAAGAAAAGACCAGAGGTGGAAAGGCTAATCTCAGATATTGAGGGTGATATTGAGTTTAATGGCCGAGGGGAGAGAAGAAAGGGTCTCAAGTAAAGGGGGGTAAGGGTGTTTGGGAGGGAGTTCTACTATTTCCTAATGAAAATCATAAGCTGGAATATGAGGGGCTTAGGAAGTGCAAGGAAGAGAAGACTAATAAAAG